TCAAATTATAGGACTGATCAACTGAATTTAAAGCAGAGCTTTCCATTAGGTCAGCTTTCTGCTCATTGGCTGCTCATTGCAAACAGGACGATTGAACAGCAGGTGAAAGAGGGTACAGGGCTGGGTATTATTTGCTCTTTCTGACATCATAAAAATCCAACAGTAGAAAAACTGTATTTAAAGCAATCTGGAGCCTAGTTTTACGCTTAAAGAGATTATTTAAACATTAGCCTCATTATTAGTAAAGGGAATAACTCCTAGTAGATAAAAGTTTAACCCCCACAACAGCTGTGGCTCAGGAGGTAGAGCTGGTTGTCCAGCAGTCAGAAGATCCGTGGTTGGAGTCCTGGCTCCTTTAGTCTGCATGTATCCTTGGGCAAGACAGTGTGCCATACATGCATGGCAGAAAAAAAGCACTCAAACAAACATGCGTGATTTTGTGAATGAAAGTTATACTAGAAAGTGCATTGATGCCTAACTAGAGTAGAAAAGTGGTATCAAGGTAGCATATTCTGTGACGCTGGACTTCCTGAGTTAATTTTCTTTCCTTTGCCTGGCTTCAAATCACCCTGGGAGTACTACAGAAGCACAACGCGTAGTCTGCACCAGATCTTTCATTCTCTGTGCCATTCCTGTATCAAACTTCTTGCCCGACTACTACAGCTTCTGTAATAAATACACCCAGTAAAGAAAATAGAGCTGTGTCCAAGAGACTTCTGAAGAAGAGGTCAAGTGTTGGAAAGTGATGACTTGTTGGGGTGTTTAAGACAGAAGGAATTCTCCTGACAAGTGCTGATTTCTATTGTGATGTTACACAAATATGGTGATGTATCGATATTCCTATAATGTATTGATCATCACCAGTTACTTTGAGATTCACAACCCTAACACTGATTTTAATTAAGGATGTAGATGTGCAACTATCTGCAAAAGGGATCTTCAATATTTCCTCCTTAAATCTTCAGGACGATATCTTCCATGTATTTCTGCTAACTATAGATGTCAAAAAGTTAAGTTCAGCTGCCCAGATTAAGCACTTAACTATATTTGCTCTTTATTTTGGGGAATTTTTTTTTCTCTAAATCATCCAAAATTTAATCAGTAGTAAAAACCGTTTTTTGTTGGGGTTTTTTTTTTTTTTGGAGAACAAGAAGATGATCAATAGACTTTCTCAGCTTCATCTCTCGCAGTTTCTCGGCCCTGTAATGTAAATAATTAAATATTTCACAGGTTCGAGGCCCTCTCTGAGAGTGCGTCCGAGAGTACGTGATGGGCTCACCCATCACCTCTTTTGCTATTTTCCTGGAAGACACAGCGTGTAAAGGCTCGGTGCTGCCTTACTTGACTTCTTTCTTGGTGAACAGTCCCACTCTCTCCAGCTGCTCCAGCTCAGGGATTCTGTCCTCGATCCGCTGCTGAACGATCTCCGCCATCTCGTCGAAGCAGCCGTTAAACGCTCGTGTTCAGCTGCTGTTTGGTAAAACTTAATAATGGTATAACAACTGTACACAGAACACCACGAGAGGCCAACTCTATCCCCAATTACACATGTGTGGAAGTTGTGACTAGCGGAGCTTCCGGTTCCGTCTGCAAATAGGTCCGACAGGAAATCTGAGCTGGAGGAAACCTTTGTTAACTCAGAGTTTTAAACTCCCAAACTCCCTGTTTCACAACGTATTAAAGATGAAACGAAAGTTTACCTGTCCTTTTATATTCGAAAACGATTTGGTGTATGTTTTCTCACCTCAGATTAATTTTGATATACACCAGGGGAACATATAGAGTGGGGAAAGCTTTTTTTTTTCAGAACTTTATTTGAAATTGTAACGTGAACAGTCAGTCATCCCAGCTCAGTTTGTACAGTAAACATACAGGGCAAATAAGAGTAACAATAAGTATTACAATGAAAATAAGAAGGGTAAATAATTAATAAAAGGAAAAAAGAGGGATGTGACAGACTTCATAATAGCTTTGTACTTGAAAATTATATCTGTGACAGCTCATTTGTTGAAAATTTCTGAATGAATTTCAATCAATGATGAACCTCTTTTATTTGAAGTTAATTTAAGAGCGTTTAAGTAATATTCAATTTCAAGTAAAAAACAAATTCAATAATGGGGTTGAGTTTTAAAATTTACATTTATGTATGTGGAATTTCCCTAGTAAGATATAAAGATTGACAATGGTACATAATTTTTTTTCCTTTGGTTTCAAAATAACTGATAATGTCCTTCCCTTCAATTTTGACTTCGTATGTTGTTTTGCACAATATATCATTTTCAAGTTCTCTCCACAGTGTAGTACTATATGAACGAGGGGGGAAATGAGCTGGCACAAGCCTCCTCACATTAATTGCATCATAATAATGCAATATATCAAGCTACCCTCCAATATATATATAATAAAATAATCAATAGCTGGACCATTGATGTGTATATATGTACACACATCAATGCATCAGTAATTATGATCCAATGTACATAGTACATATGTACATAGTATTGCATATAATTCTAAAAACTGCTTACTTTAGGTACTTTAAATATAGTTAAAGAATGCACTATTTACTACTCTACATTACTTGGGTAGGATAATTTATACATTTTACTTAATGAAAAGTCTACATACTTTCTTTTTGTTGCAAAAGGTTTATCCAACAAAAAAATATATATTAAAAATCTTGTGGAGCCCCATTTTATGAAAAGACAGGTGGAAGAGCTGAAGATGTTCAGAATTTCACTGGGAGTGATCAGGATGGACATGATGAGAAATGAATATATTAAAAGAAAAACTCAGGTTAAACTGAATATATATATATATTTTTAAATACTATCGTCACGTTTAGCGTGGAATAAACGGTAAAACAAAAAAGCATTTTCTAATTACAGTGCAAAAGGGAAAAAAAGCCAACGAGTGAGAGAGAGAGAGTTTTGAGATGCGAGAGATTTATGACGTTTAGCATGGAGTTTATAGTTTGTGTGTTATGTTGTATTGTGTAGTTAGTGTCTTGTGTAGTCATTGTTTTGTTTTGTGTGTCAGTGGGTACAAATGAAGGCCACAAAGGTAGATTTCAATGTAAACACCATCTCCAGGTGGAAAACCAGAGGAGTGATACATCTCCTGTTGTCAGGCCTGCAGAGTTTATCCCTGCGGTGTTCTCCTCTGTCTTGTGTCAGACAAACAATTTTTTTACTGGCGCAAATAATTTTATCGGGCATCTTACTGTGACAACTGATTGTTCTCTCTCTCATTTTAGTTATAGTAGTATTTTTAAATGGTTGTACAAACAAACAAAAAACGCCAGATGCATTGGCTACATTTTTAGATAAATAGTTGTATATAACTTTATAATTTTCAAAATTTGTGCATAAGTTTTCAAAATTTACAATTTATATTTGTATTTGAAGTTATGAAAATAATTTGCTAAACGTGTCTGTGGTTTTTACAGTTAACCCCCCCCCCCCCAAAAAAAAAACAAAACAAAAAACAAAACAACTTCTCGGATGTTATGTTTTGTGTTTGATTTCAGATCAGTTGTGTTAATATAGTATGTCAATGAAAGAATAACTGTAAATTCAGATACACGAGGTTAAGCTAAAAAGAATGATACCAAGCAACGCAAGGGAAAAAATAATTTAAAACAATTTGAAGGTGAAATACAAATGTAAATCAAAAGTACATAAAAATGTGAATTCACATGTTTTATGTCACTGAAATTTTTAATTATGTGGGCTACAGAAAATAATTAAGTGATAGACTATATTTGTATGAAACGTGTATACTTACTGCATTTGAATCATTTTACCCATATGTAACACTTGCATGTGTGTTTTTCAAAAAAGGCTTTGATTTGCCACCCTATTTGATTTCCATGCTACCATCATGCCACCCCCAGAAAATTTCTCTAGATCCGCCCCTGGTTGAACGCTTTGGATACAAAATTAGAGCGACAAAGCTGACGTAGTTTGGACATGTGCAGAGAAGAGGTAGTGGATATACTGGACAGAGGATGTTGAATATTGAGCTGCCAGGCAGGAACAAAAGAGAAAGACCTCAGAAGAGGTTTGTGGATGTAGTGAAGGACAACTTGCAGAAGTTTGGCGTGACAGGTGAGATGGAAAAGGTGAGATTTAGCAGATGATCTACTGTGGTGGCCCCAAAAGGGAGTATCTGAAAGAAAGAAAGAAAGAAAGAAAGAAAGAAAGAAAGAAAGAAAGAAAGAAAGAAAGAAAGAAAGAAAGGAAAAAGAAGGAGTACAGCAGCACTTTTCATGTAATAAATCTATAATTCCTCCCTGTGCCACCCCATTAATAAAAAAAACTACAACAAAAAACCTAGAAACGCCCGTGATATAAAGTAATATTTTTTCTAACGTCTTCCATGGATTAGAATATGATCTTTTAAAAATTACAGTAATCGTAGCATTTATACCACGTATGTAAATATTACAGTTATTGTAACCTGCTGGAAGAGTACAATCTGTTTGAATAATGTCGACATTATTAAAAACTAAAAAGTAAATGTTAGGTTTTTAGGTTATTTGTTTAATGTTCTTAGCGTCCACATTTTATTACTAACATAGATTTTATCCACACTTTTCTACTTTTACAGCACAATTTAACCTACAGCACCTGTATCCTTATGTTCTACTGAAAATATTCGTACAAATGTGAAGTACCTCTCAACAACAATGGGTCAATGCAATAAAACAGAAAATATAAATATTAATTCCGATCTTTGATTTGCTATTGATTTTTCATTGAATAAATAGTCAGACGGAATATATTTGGGTTCGTAGGGTTTATATTGTGAATTCTTGAGTACATTTTGTGAATGACAGAGCTCTGGCTGCTGTGTGCTCGTCTGGTTATGATGAATGCAGATGGACTCGATTTCCCGCAAAATCGTGGAAAGCGAGAGCGCGTTGTCTGACGTTACTGAAGCGAGTAGCCAATCAAAGTTCTGCATTGGCACCGCTCATCTCCTATTGGCTGACAACTGACCAGTGCTCTGTTGTTCAGTACAAATTGAAGGGATACCGCATTGAGAACAAGTTATAGATAGAATATCAATAATCGGGTCCAATATACCCAAAACTACTGGTAGTATTTCGGACGGATGAATGTAGAACAGCTTCGAGTTTCCGGAGGTTTGTTTTGAAGTAAACTATGCTAGCATTGCTAGCTAACTAGCCAGCGTCTTGTCGCCTCCTCTTCACAGGTTTCTGCTGTTGAGTCTGCCAGGCTTGTGCTAGAGGCAGCGAGGCCAGCAAATTAATGCCATCAGCCAGGGTACGTTACTTTTTTTTTATATACCCCATATTTGCCACTTTACAAATTTTGGGAGCTTTGTTAACGGCGGTTTGATTAACCGAATAAATAGTGCGGTAAAAGGCAGGCTAGCGTGTTAGCGCTGTGCTTCTAGCCGTTAGCTCGCGTGCTAATGCTAGTGTTTTGCTAAGCTAACTTGTTGTGTTTCCCGCACCTATGCCTTAATCTTTTTTCTTCTAACGTGTGGTGTTGTCTCACTCCGCAGAACTCAGGTCATATTATGAGCGGGGCCAGTTGCAAAGCTAACGGCGCCGTCTACCCTGCCTCATCAGCAATGATGAACTCTGTAAAAAAGCCCAAGATGGAGCAGATTCAGGCCGACCATGAGCTGTTCCTACAGGCCTTTGAAAGTGAGACTTCACTACTTGTTACATTATAGTACAAGTTTACGGTTTGGGTTCACGAGAGACTTTCCTGTGCTTTGCGTGATTGTTCCGCTACTCTGATCATTTTTACTGTGATTTATTGTGGGGGTTTTTTTAGTTGCCTTTTTGACTGTCTGGCATTTGGTTTAATTCCAAATGGAGTCCTAAATATTGTTTTTAACTTAACGTAATGACTACTGTAGTAAGGTAACAATTATCAGACTGAAATCAGGCTAAAACACACGCCCAATACTTTTTTCTCTTTTTTGGGGGGGAGGGTCATGTCAAATTAGTCACCACATACCAGAAGAAGTGTTGGCATGTGAGAAATGCACTACATAGATGGGTTTTTCAGATCAAGTCTGTATGAGAGGGGTGTGATACTGTCTAAAACAAGACTTGTTGTATTTCTAGAACCAACTCAGATATACAGATTTCTACGCACAAGGAATTTGATTGCAGTAAGTGAATACTCTACACATTTATATCTTAATTTAACTGCTTTAAACTGCTGATGGAAAATGACTGATATCCGCCCACCCTCTTTTTTTTCTTAGCCCATATTTTTGCACAGGACACTCACCTTCATGTCTCACAGAAATGGTCGAACAAATGCCAGAAGGTATGGAGTCTGGAGAAACAGGAATCCTTTTTTTTTTGTCATAACGATGCACTGTCATAGTTGGTTAAAGATGATTTGTTCCTGACGATGTTTGTGAACAAACGTTCTCTGACTTCTTTCCAGGAAAACATTCAAAGTGGATGATATGTTGCAGACAGTGGTGAAGATGAAGGGGGAGCAGGATTCTCCAAGGTAACACAGCTTTACAAGTGTTGCATCTGTTTTCTGTATTTTGTATTGAACAAAGCTAATAACAGTTGTAGCACTTGATATGACCTAGTTTCACCTGTGCATTTTTTTTATTTTTTATTTTAGCTTGTCCTCACATCTACAGTTAACATTCACTGGGTTCTTCCATAAGGATGGTAAGCACATGTTAATCTTCACCAAGTACCTGTGTTTTGTGTATTTCCCTATGAAAGAAATGACTCAAATGCTTAGGTGTGTCAGAAATTTCTACAATATTCAGCTGTTTGAAATTTGGTTTTGCTTTGACACATGTTAAACAACCACATTGATAGAAATGACAAAAGTAGTCACACTTTTTTTTTTTTTTTTTTTTTGTGCCAACATACTGCTATGCAGTCTTACAGTTGCATGTAGGATAACATTAATTGATGTTAAGAGATCTGTCTGTGAAGGTTCTCAGTCCAAGGTCAACCATTTGACCCTAGAACTGAAGAAGCTTCTCGGATGAGAGGTGAAACGTCTTCAAGCAACTTAAAGAAGTCCAGACGCTTTTCTTTCCAAGCTCCTTAGATGTTAAGAGATGCTTCTTATGTATCTAAGAAAGAAGAAGAATATACAGTTGTTTGTGATTGACACAAACTCTTCTTGTTTCCCTCTAGAAAAGCCATCTCAGAATTCAGAAAATGAACAAAATTCTGTGTCCTTAGAGGTGCTACTTGTCAAAGTCTGCCATAAAAAACGCAAGGTAAAGTAAAACACTGGGTCTGTCACTTTTGGCAACATGTCAATGCATCTGCCGTTGCTCACTCGTGGTTGTTTTTGTATTTCAGGATGTCAGCTGCCCGATAAAGCAAGTGCCTACAGGTAAAAAGCAGGTGCCTTTGAATCCCGACAGTAACCAAACCAAGCCCGGCTCCTACCCTTCCTTACTGGTTCCCAGCAATGAATTTGAGCCCAGCAACAGCCACATGGTGAAGTCTTACTCGCTTCTGTTCAGGGTATCACACACAGGGAGAAGGGATGCCAGTGGTCTAGTGAATGGAGAGGCCAATGAAAACATTGGTAGGAATCCCACAGTAAAACCTTTTCATGCTCTGTTTTTGACTGTGCACCATTTAGATGAATAATTTAACAGTGCAGTTTGTTGGGAGAGTAGCATAAGGGATTGAATATTCTTTCTGTGAGCATCTCATCTGAAAATGATACCAGCTGTAACTGAAATAGTTGCTGGCTAGATATTACATTCTTGGTCTCAGTTGTTTGTTTGTTTGTTTGTTTGTTTGTTTGTTTGTTTATTTTTAAACATGAAGATGTAACAGATACTCCTAATAGAAAGAAGCGAAGTTCATCCCATAGGGATGAAGGACAGACCACAGAGACCTATGTTGCACAGATGACCGTCTTTGATAAGAATAGGTAAGGATTTGTACTTTCTTTCCTTTTTAAGTTCTAAATATGTCCCTCTTCCAGTCGCTTTTGCCTGTACTCCTCAAAACATGCACTGCTTTGTCCACAGGAGACTGCAGCTGCTGGATGGGGAGTATGAGGTGTCAATGCAAGGGATGGACGACAGCCCTGTGAGCAAGAAGCGAGCCACATGGGAAACCATTCTTGATGGGAAGGTAGGCTGGCTGGATTCGGTCTCTGAAAGGAAGGTGTAATTGTGTTTGTCATATTGAACTTGAATGCTAATTTCCTTCTTGTCCACCTCACTGCTTCACTGACCATGACTGTCCCACAGAGACTGCCACCATTTGAGACATTTTCTCAGGGACCCACATTGCAGTTCACGCTGCGTTGGACAGGTGATGGCAGTGGAAAGTCCACTGCTCCTGTGGCTAAACCCCTCTCTACGCGCAACTCGGATAGCTCCAGCCCTATGGAGACCAGAACCAGCAACCACCGAACTGCCCTCATGAGTAAGTACAAAAACAATTCACGGTAGCTTGAACTTAGAAATTTAGAGCAATGAAATGACGTGGAAAAATTCTATCAGTGTGATGCTATCGGTTTTTTCAAAATCCCTGGATTACATTTTATCTTATATTACATTCAAGAGGAGGACCAGAAAATGTCCACAGATGACAAGAGAAGGCCAGATCTTCTAATTAATTAAAAGCACTGCAAAAGGGTTCAGACAAAACACCAAATAAAGAGATTTCCTGAACAGATTCTCTGACAAACCCGAGTGGGTCATGCTTTTGGATTATTCGCCCACTATGATGTTGGTGTGGGATGATCTATTTGTAACTGAATCTGGCAAAAGGCGCTGTGTAAATAGCTGTTGAGTCCCTTTCAGACATGCTTTTCATCCCATAAATGTGCAGGCACCTCTGCACGTCACCATCATGTTGGAACAATCCCGTCAATCCTTCTGTAAAAGGCACAATGTTGCTACTTAATTATTTATTTATTTTTTGGGGGAGTATTTTATATGTATCAGTATTTGGCATAATGCTTCCAAATGAGCAAAAAGCAGTTATGAGTCACTGCCTGACGTCTCATCATTAGTAACTGTGTGTGGACTGACATGTGTGCATACACACAGTTATGAGTTGGTCCTATTAATTATCTCTAAAAGCTCGGGTTGTTTTGATATGGTGAGTGCTAGCCATCTGTTTGGATGTAACATTATTTACATTGACTCCAGTGCTAACTGATATACTTTACTTACTAATGTTACCATTTTGCAGTGGTGCTCCTCAGCCAAAGTGTCCCCTAGCATTAGTCAGAGCCCCTAATGGCTCAATTTATTTAATGCTAAGATAGTGTAACCATGTCATAAATGATCTGTTTGCATTTAGGTTGGTTTTGGAACAGGGGACCAGAGGTCTCTGCTGTGAAGCTGGATTTTGGCTTATCTCAGCAACTTGAGGGTTAACCTTGGGTTTTCAGTACTACAAAGGTGGATTACTTCTTACGGGAGTAGCTCGCCATGGTAACTTATGCTGCGTATATAACCTGCTCCAGGACAGGTTATGTTCCAGATTAGAGGAACAGGTATGAAATCGCTGACTATTGAGCAATAATTATTTTATTTTTTTCTGGAACATGGCAACACCTTTCTTGGAAGATCTCTCGGACTTCTGCGCACAGAGTAGGAGTGTCTAAAGTCTTTGTTTTGCGAATGAATGTCAGTATTCAATATGGGTTCTTATATGCAACTAAATATAACTAACGATATAGTTAAAGGAACGCTTGACCTGCCTAGTGAGGGGGTGGGTTAGTATCTCTCTCATCTCTTTCACCTTAAGCACTTGTGATTGTTTCTCTGTGGCTTAACCTTTCATCTGCACATCAAGTTTTAAATCCTGTCACTTATGCTCTCCATTTCAGAAATGTAAGCACTCATCCTCCTTTATTTGCTCATTAGGTGTGCTTCTACTCTTGTGGTGGAAAGGAAACTCTTTTTGTGCTCTGTGTTGTAACAAAGGTGAAATTCTTCAGTGACCGTGTGTTTTTAATGTCATCAGGTCACTACATAAACATGTAGGTGAAGCTACAACAATGTTGCGTATTCCATGTCTGAAATGGGCTTTATCAACAGGTGTATTTGCACTTAGATTGTGTATCTTTTGTTACTGGGCGGGGAGGGGGGGAAATGCAATTTCTCCTTCTCAAAGAAAAAAGTCCACATAATTTGTTATTTGGTGACTCTCCAAGAATTAACTTCTCCATCTGTTCCTGTCAGCAGTGAAAGAGTCAGTCAGCACAGACATTCAGACGAAGAAAGAGCAGGTCCCATGTGAGCCGCGACAGAAGCTACGTATATTTTATCAGGTACACCACACAACAGTAAGGAATACATTTGAGCCTGGCACACTTATTATAAGAACCATTTGTTTAGGTTGATAAAAATGTGCAGTGTCTTTGTGGTATGTTTTTTTTGGAGCTGTTTTAGAATTACTGTCATGTTTTGATCCCCCCCCCCTCCCCCTCCCCCTTTTTTTGTAATCATTAGTGGTGCAACGGATCAAAAAATCTCACGGTTCGGATTACAGATCAACCGTGATCCGTTGCACCACTAGTAATCATTCACCTTTTTAAAACTTAATGTAGCGGCAATTTTTAGCTTTTGGGTGCTTGCCCTTAGCGTGTCATAAGTGACAGTAACTCTGATTTTTATGACCCTGCTTTACATCTGCTGTAGGTTCACCATCTCTGGTTTATCTTGTAGTAAATCAATGGTTTGTTCTTCCTCAGTTTCTGTACAACAATAATACGCGGCAGCAGACGGAGGCGAGAGATGATCTTCACTGTCCCTGGTGTACCCTGAACTGCAGCAAACTCTACAGTCTGCTCAAACACCTCAAACTCTCCCACTCCCGCTTTATCTTCAACTATGTGGTAAGAAATAAGTGTGTGTGTGGCTGGGCAAGTCATGAGTCTTCACAAGACATCATGGGATCTCACACAGTCTTAAAGTTCAAAGATGCTGTGTGTGTGTGTGTGTGTGTGTGTGTGTGTGGGGGGGGGGGGGTGTAATCTGCAAGCTGTATCTTAAAACACTTGTATAAACTATACACTTGTGTTATGTGTTTTCAGTCTTGTCAGTTAAAGAGTGCAAGGAGACTGGGATTATTCTAATTGTCGTTATTCCTGATTTTTCCTCAAATATTTAATTTGTTATCTAATCACATCATTTGCTCCATATTAAATATTAACCATTGAATGATTGTTTTACCAGTTGAATGGTTGATATAGTTCTTATTTGTTTCTTAATCTGCAGCCTCACCCTAAAGGAGCAAGGATAGACGTTTCCATCAACGAGTGCTATGACGGCTCATACGTTGGCAACCCTCAGGACATCCACAGCCAGCCAGGTTTTGCTTTTAGCCGCAACGGCCCAGTCAAGAGGACCGCTGTGACTCACGTACTGGTTTCCAGGTAGACACACGACCTTCAGTCAGAGTTAACAGAACTGACTCATTTTCCTCTTCGTTTGTCTGTTAATGAAGGGGTAATGAGCTGAATTAACGTTAATGACGTGATCATGCACACTAACCATGGTTTAAACAGACTTGGAGCAAAAGTCTGAGGAACTTGGCAGGAAGGCAACTCTAAACGGATTAGCTCTGATATGTTCTTATACTAATGTATCTGGTAGAAATGAGTTTGGTTGATAATAGTCTGGAAAGCCGAGATGTAATTGTCTGATGAAAGCATACACCGACAATAGCGTGAAGAGTTTTTACTTGATTCCTTTGAGGGGAGTATCTTCATATTTATCATAAACCTTTACTTTAAAAGTCACAAACCTTAACACGTAAAACTTCATACGCAAATTATGGCAAAAAATCCAGACAAGTGTATAAAAACCCCCTATAATTTTATATCCTAGTTTTAACAACTGAGCAAATGTTTATTTTGGTGAGGATGCAAGGTTACGTACATTTTATTAAAGGTTACCTCAATTCCACCTCAAACTGGGGATGCTTTGAAAATATTATTTCATATGTACGACAGTAAAATTATATATTTCTGAAATGTCAGCCTACACAGTGTTAAATACAAAATGAATTTTCTTCTTCTCTTGCTAGGCCCAAAAGGACCAAACCAAGTCTTTCAGAGTTCCTGGAGTCTGAGGACGGAGAGTTGGAGCAGCAGAGGACCTATGTCAGTGGACATAACCGCCTTTATTTCCACAGTGATAGCTGCATGCCCCTGCGGCCTCAGGAAATGGATGTAGACAGCGAGGATGAAAGGGATCCAGAGTGGCTCAGGGAGAAAACTGCCACGGTGAGAAACCAGTGCTCATAAAGTCATTTTTACCCAGTAAAAGGCTGATTGTCATCAACTTCAGTAAAGGAGAAATGATTCACCAATGAAATAAATCCAAAGAAAAGTTGTGATTGTGTCCTTGAATTTCCCAGACCCCCACAATTGGGATGAGAGGGAAACATTAAAAAAAACAAAAAACCCTGAGAAATGGCAAAACAAAGATTTCAGAGTTACCATAGCAACAGAGTGAGAAATCATTTGGGTCTGGCCGGTCACCCATAAATAACTTGGAGGTGCTCAGGGCAGAAAAACTGCTGCCAACACTGAACACCTCTTCAGCTTGTTCTTCAACTGATACACAACATGTGTCACTTCATTATTGATCTCACCGAACCCTGTAGAACAAAGTCTGTTAGTTACACTTCTGACAGGAGTGACAGAAAACCTGTGAGATTAGCCCCTGATGAGTTTTCATTACTGCTTATTCACAATTGTAATGATGTAAAACTCGACACACATTACACTGTTTTACTGTTACATTTGGCTTATATGGCAAGTTGTTCATATTGGAGTGTATCTTAATTGAGTATCATTTATTTATTTTCTTTAATTACTATAGCAACTGGATGAGTTCACGGACGTTAATGAAGGAGAGAAGGAGGTGATGAAGCTGTGGAACCTCCACGTCATGAAGCATGGGTATGCTGAATATATCAGTTTGAAGCAGAGATTTTGCAGGATGCTTATAACGGTGTAGCTAGTTTATATTCAACTGTGTCAGGGTTTTTTTTTTTTTTTTTCTCAACTGGGTGAGGGGAAAACATATTGGACTTTATTTATTTACTTTATTTTATTTCTTAACTTTTTGCTCTGGGAAACTTTTTGCAAATAATAAATGGGATTAAACAGGATGTCGTCACAGACAATTCCAAACAAATCAGAAAAAAAAAATCCTCAAGAATATGCTCAATTTAATAAACCACCCAGCAGTTATATTGTAGTTTTTACATATTTTGGTCACAGTGTGGAGCCTCTAAAACCTGCATTCTTTCAGTAGCCAGCAGGTGGCGACACATTTAGTTGTAAAAGAGTCAGATCATAGATGTCTGTGAGAAACATGTCTCCATTATGAGTGTGTCAAAAAGCCTTGAATTTGATTGTCAGTTTCCAGTCTGTTTTTTGTTTTTAAGGCACATAAGGTTCTTTGTACATTATGTTAAAAGTGGTCCCAGAGTAAAATCAGTAATGCAGGGTATCCTCTAGGGCAGGGCAGCCTTTGGTTGACATGTAGCTACCACACACACTCATGAAATCTGGTTCCAAAACATCAGTGCTGGAGCTGCTGAGCTCAAAGCTTCTAATGGTAGTCCGCAAATTAATGAGTGACTTCAAAGTAGCTGATGGTGTTTTTACAGCCTCTGACTGTAGAAATGCTAGACTCGTATAATTTGATTATTCCCCCCTTCAGCTTCATTGCAGACAACCAGATGAATCAGGCCATCATGCTTTTCGTGGAGGACCGCGGCGCTCACATCATCCGGCGCAACCTCTGCCGCAACTTCCTCTTGCACCTAGTCAGCATGCACGACTTCAACCTGGTAAGCACATCCACCATCGATCGTGCGATGGCCCGACTGCGGCAGATACAAGAAGAGCTGCCGGAAGTTGAGGTGGACCAGCAGGATCAGAATCCAGCAGGAGCCTGTAATGGAAATGCCATCACCCCAAGTGGGGGACAGCAGGGCAAGAGGACAAAAAGCGCTCTAACAGACTGATGTAAAGCTGGCTGGAGGGAACTATGATTGTTGTATTTTTCTGTATTTTTCTTCCCCCCTCCCCTGCTCCCTTAAATGGACTTTACCGACATTTTGGTGCTTAGATAGGTGGGAGAACTGAGCAGCAGATGAACTGACTGGACACAGATCAGTATACAAGGTAAACAAGTTTTCGGAACTTGAACTGAACCAAATATGAACAATATAAAAGTGAATTGCCCACTTCTACACAAACCAGGAATTTGTGGACTGAATGATGCAAGTTGAACCTACTTAATATGCATTTTGTAGGAGCCATTGAATTATCCTTGTGTCACTGAGAGTAAACGAATGGAGTGTCTTTTACTGTGGCACGACTGCCTTCGGTATGATAGACGGCTACAGTTAAAACTGTACTGGTAACATTGTCACTGTTTATTTGTACACGTACACAATAACCTTGATTAAAAATGTATCCTTTTTAGATGGTTATTTTAGCACTTGGTGTTTGTATTTAGAAGGCTTACCTTGAAATTGTCATTTGGAAAGGGGGGAAAAAAATGTGATCATGCTGCGTCAGCACTTGAATGCAGCTTTTTCATGATCATCTGTGGAGGGCTGGATTCGCTGCTATGGATGACATTTCAAATGAAGGGCGATACAGTAAAAGGATTGTGGGGTTTCCTGACAAGGTTGTCAGTGTTGTACTGTAAGCATGGATCCTGGACTACAGAATAAAGTAAGATTTCAGTCCAGGCTAAAAAAACAAAACAAAACCGAAATTACATTTCATCATGTTTGACATTGATGATAGTGCAAGGAAAGCCAAGGAAGTCAAGTTTTCTGAGTATTTTGTTTGTGGACAACCAGCAGCACATCACACCGTGTGCCGTGCAAAGCATCAGAGAAATGAATGTCGGCTGTTTTCTGTTGTAGGCACCTGCAGTTTGTTTGTTTTTTCCTTCCCCCTACTTCAAGCTCTGAGAACATTGGAGACACATTAATTGAATTTTATATTTTTAAACGTGGGTTACGAGTAGCTGACAGAAATGTGTATAGTGTAATCACATCAAATGTTTAGCTGTGCCCCGTTTAGCTGTGCCCCGTTTCGCATCTAGTAAAGAACAGGTTGCAGTTGTCATTTCAAAGCAATATGGTGTTGTTTGGAGGATTTTTCAGGTCCAACTAAGTTGTTCTTTTAGTTTCAGTTGATGCCAAAGGGGAATGTTTTCATCATTCTCTTAGTTCTGTAAAAAAAAACAAATTTAAAGTATGTATAATTTTTTTTCATAACACTTCTTTTGAGGGAAAAAAAGAAGCAGTAGTTGTGTTTAGTAGTGTGCACATAAATTGGTGAACATCACCATTCAGTTTCATCAGAATTCCCTTGTGGACAACCAGATTAACAGTATATTTCTCCCTCTGCCCTCCGTTATCCGTGGAGGCTTTCTGTGTCCATGTGGAAAACAAAAACGTTGTTGTCAAAACACCCTGTGGAAAATTGTGGCATATACACTCTGGATAAGGGGATTTTTATATTTAAAGAAATAAAACATTTGTCCTTATCCATTCCTGTACTGTTTTTAGATGTACTGGCTGCAGGACTGACTGACTACCCTTCCACAATTCACAAGAATCACTACTGCTGCTCGAATATTGTACGGATTTTAGTGAAACCTGTGCACAGTGAACACATCTAATAGGCCTTCAATCAAATTGTAGTCAAGATCACTTTAGTTTGTGCATTACAGCCAATTAATGACAAAACTGCAACTTTCTGTACATTTCTCCCACTGAAAATGCTACGTCTAAATGAACAGAATCAACTTTTGGGGACCTAGAGATGATTGTTAGTCCCAGAAGACCAACAGTTTGGCACTAACAACCATGCCACGTTCAAGTAAATCACTTTTTTTCACCATTCTGGTGCTCAGTTTGAAACTCACCAGGTCCTCTTAATCACCTCTATAAGTCTATAGTTACTGAGTTGCTGTCATGTGATTGCCTCATTTCAGATATTTTAATAAACAGCTGAACAGGTGTACTTAACAAAGTGGCAAGTGAGTCTATAGAAGTAGATACACAAGACTGAGACTGGATGGTTTCATATAAATACATGTCTATGCTACAAAAATGCACTACAGGTGACAAAAGCTGTAAAATCTAACACTGCACTTTATTCTATTTGAGTAAAAACATCTGTAACTAGCTGGTCTGAGACTTTAGAGAAAGGTTTGTGTGGTTTTGGGAACTTTTGTAACTAGTGCGGCAAATCTGTATCAGTGTGGGATATCTGTCTACGCACGATCTCTGACTGCAGAGAAACACTGCGCACTTTTAAAGCGTCACTTCAGCTCTGCGGATGAATGTAGCACTGACTGTACTCGTGTATTTCCATGTCCTATATTCCTCATACCATTTTCTTCTTACATACAGCCCTAACTAGCTAGCTTCGTTTGAAAGAAACAAAAAAAACCGATATTTCTGTGTTACGCGAACGTCGCACAAATGACGTCATACGTAAAATCCAAGCGCCAAATTCAAAATGGCAATAGCCAGCCTGCAGCCTGCAAACTAAAGCCTTTTTTAAAAATTAGTTTGCCGTGTTTTACGATGCGAAATAAACTCAGAAAGGTCAAAACAGTCAGAGACTCAAACTTCCGGTGCAAAGACGTGACGCAAACTGCCGGGGTTATAGTTTTATCAGAGTCGAGCTGCTCTAAAGAGGAAATCTCGCTGGATGCAAAAGATAAAAACGGCTCAAATTCAGCTACATGGCTTTCGGGAACACACCCCCAACCAGTCCTGGAGATAAGAGATTCTTTGTGCGCAAAAGGAGCTAAAATTGCTCCGATTTTCTTACGAGCGATAGAGCAAAGAAAGCGGAGCAGCGACGGGGAGCTGGACCAGCCTCTGGATAGCACGCAGCAATCCGTGCTCCCTCTTCAAGGTGATAACGTGCAACCAGTAAAACGTCCACCTGCAGTTTCTCACGTGACAATAAAGGACTGGTGTCAGGGACAGCTGTCACCCTCAGTTCTGCACAGCTGCCTGGAAAAAATCCAAACTTCTAATCCAGCATTTCCAGTCCAAGCTGTGCTCAACACTTTGAGGAAGAAGGCAGGAGAAGGGCTGCAGGAGCATGCGCTCACAGGTTAGACTGAACAACTGTCTGTACATTTGCTCCTCAGTGAGGATATAATTGTTCCCCTTTCTTTCCTCCTCATATCCGCATTATCCCTTAAAAGAAAAGAGAAAACGGGTAGATGAACTCTTGCAGAGGGTACCGAAGCGTCTGAGGTCTGCAGAGAGTGCTGCAGATGTGGGTCACTCGTCACATCAGGATGTCCTGGGAAGCAGTAGTGTTCACCCTGCAGAGAAACAGCCCAGGTGCAGTAAGCTGAGTCGCACTCGCAGACTGAAGCAACAGAGGGCGAGCCAACCAAGTCTTGATGAGCCGAACATAATGAAAAGCTGTGATCCTCTTCAAAGAAGTAATGCTTGTCTCATTCAGAACAGTTTGACATGTGCTTTTATTCCCTTTAAATTGCAGGAAATGTACTTTTTTTTCTCTTCTTTCTTCTGTCTAGATTTATTTTTTGAGGATACGCTGTGGACAGATAAGTACAGTCCCCAGCATTCGAGTGAGGTCATTGGTAATCCTGCATCTGTGAATAAATTGTACAGGTGAATTTAAGATATTTACACAAGTCTAATTGATTAATTAGTCTTTTGAAGTCAGCATCAGGAGTGTAAACTTTTTATGGATGTTTTCTTCTTGGAGTTCAGTTGGTTAAGGAAATGGAAACTAAGAGCCGCCCGTGACAAGGAGAGACAAATGGAGGAAAAGAAGCAACGGGAAAACAGTAATGGTATGAACTGGTTCTTCACTGTGAAGCTTTGCTCAGTCAGACATGTTATTCTTTTTTATTCCATGCGTGTGACTTTTGGAAAAGTAACAAGTATCCTTTTGAGCAGAGTCATGGGATTGTGGAGACTTCCAGGGTGAAGCTGGATCAGACGATGGCAGAGAGGACCCACTGGGTAACACCCTGCTGATTACAGGACCGTCGGGTGTGGGCAAGACTGCTTCGGTGTACGCCTGTGCTCAGGAGCTGGGCTTCAAGGTGGGATTTGCAAAAAGGTCCGGTGTTTTTTAAGCGATGCTGTCAAAGGCTTGTGAGAAATCAGTTCCACCAAACATGGATTCATGTTAGGATGAATCTTAATGCCAGTTCACCATCCCAAACATGTCCAATAAAACCTTTTTCCCATTTAAGTAAAGCAAAGAATCCCCGTAGATAACCTGTTTAGTTCATTGTAATATTAATAACGATGATCCTTAACATGAGTTTGATTTCACTAACTGTACATAAAAACAAACGACCCCTATGAAACTAAGCTGTGGTTAAACAGCTAATTTAAAATGGCAACAGACAGCTGTAATATGAAATGTACAGAAGTTCAAATTTAAAATTGAATCCTTCTCACAATATATTACTTTTCTACTGGTTGAAATTTTTGTGGCTCATCCCAGAAGGTACCTATAAAAAATCAACACCTGATATGCTCGGAGTCTCCAATTTTAAAACTGGTAAAATGTGACATTTTTGACTTTGATCAGGTCTCCACTGGAGGTGGTAATAACCAGACACCCCACAATATGATATTATCACAACACTTCACTCACAGTGACAATTTTTTGTCAAATTATGTCCTCAGAGTTAAACTGTGTCATTCTCTGTTTTATCCAGTAAGATAAATTTCTCACACTCTCACTAAAACCTGCCATAAATTTTTTTCTCCACCGCTAGTCTTAATGCTTTGGTTTCTTCTCAACCAAGGTGTTTGAGGTGAACTGTTCCTCACAGCGCAATGGGCGCAATGTTCTGTCCCAGCTAAAGGAGGTTACCCAGTCACACCTAGTGGAGACGTCGGGCAAAGACCAGCTGAAACCGGCTTACTTCAACACCAACACCTGCACTTCTAAATCTGAGATTTTACTAGGTGATGATCATTTGTTTTCATTGTAACACGAGTAATCAGAGCCCTCAGTTCTTTTACTGAAAAACAACAGAGGCACAATTTTACCGTACAGGTAATTATATTTTCTGTTAACAGGAAAAAGGGTGCTTCCTAAAAATGTCACTTCCACCTCAAAAAGAAGAACATCACAGAATTTGAGAGGCTCTCGTCGCAGCGCAAAAGCAAAATCAGCCACAGTCACTCTGACTCGCTATTTTAGGATGAAGGCCAAAGCAGATCACTTACAGTCTGGTTTCCTGTCACCATCTGAAAGGCCAGAGAACAGGAAACTGGGCAACTCATCGTCAGGCTCTGATGTAGCAGAGAAAAAGACAGCCACTTCACTTATTCTCTTTGAAGAGGTAAACCATTTCTGAGCACGACACCGTTTGGCATATAAAGCCACACGTTAACCGTGTTTGCTTCAGATTCACTGTTATCGCTTGCTCTTGCAGGTTGACGTTATATTTGACGATGACGTCGGTTTCCTTGCGGCCATTAAGGCTTTTATGAGTGCCACTAAAAGACCAGTCATTTTGACTACGAACGGTAAAGACGCACACGCAGAGTTTGAATTTCACTTTTAAAGATGAGCTGTTGGTTCTAAACTAGTGTCTTCCTCAGATCCCTTATTCAAGGATCGATTCGACGGCAGCTTGGATGAAATAATTTTCAAAACTCCATCAGCAGTAAGTCAAAGTTACCTCGACCGCCTCACACAGCTTCAATGACAACTGCATGCATGCGCCGCACTCTTCTTGCATGTTTGTGCTATAGAAGAAGAAAAATGTTATTAGAACTTCATTAATAGAAAAATAACTCAGTCTGTCATTAACTCCATCTTTTCAAAGGTGAATATGTGCAGTTACCTGCAGCTGGTGTGTCTGGCTGAGGGAGTGCAGCTGGATTTAGGTGACGTCAGCAGCCTACTCAGACTCACCTGTGGTGATGTCAGACGCTGCCTGCTGCAGCTGCAGGTCTGGGTGCAGAGTGGTGGAAGGTCTAAGAAACCCATCTGTGTGCAGTGTAAGTTTCTCCAACATAAAGCATAAATAACATTTAAAACAAATTTTATGTTATTCTCTGTAAATCTTATTGTTTTAGACTCAGATGCTGCTGAAGGAGAACATTTAGACTCATTGCCTCCGTACAAAACGGGCTGCTCTGCTAACATGCTGGGTCTTTGCGGTGTAACTCCAGAACATTTGCTGAACCTTCTAAAGGCAAGTATTTGTTTCTCTGCATAAATCTTCATGATCATTTCTCCAAATGAAATTAACGTTTCCGATCTATCGTGTTTTGATTCTCAGTCCTCGTCTAAAAAGCACATGGACGAGCTCTTGATGCTTCTCGCTGAGAGCTGGAGACGAGGCGTGCCGCTTCTCTATTTGAACCTGGAGCTTCTCCTGTCTGTAGCAGCTCAGCATACTACGGTTCGATGCTTGGAAACAGTAGCTTATTCCAGGCTGCAGTGCGAGCAATCTGATGTTGGGCTTCACATCGAGCAGCACAATAGAAGCATTTATCAAAGGGCTTCACTGACCAACAGCAAATCTGTAAGCCATACGTCAAAGCTTAGCAGAAGGAAGTATAACAACACATCATCTGACAGTTTGGGCCTTGAAAAAACATTCTCATTCAGTGGGACTCCTTCAAAAGCTCTGCACTCAGGCAGTACGGCTCAACAAATTGCAGCTAAAGAGGAGAGTGAGTGTTTAGACGCCCTGACTGACTTCTTTGACATCATGTCCTACCTCGATGCCACCCTGCCGCCCACAGGGACACGTGTTTCCGACTCCTGCGCACCCGAGTCATTTGTGTGGACAGGAGCGGCGCTAAAGGCTGGTTTGTTGGATGAGATGAGGGAGGAAGAGGACAGCAGCTACAGTCAGGAGAGGCTGTTGGACATTCAGGCTGCTGCTGAAGGTTTGGGGTGTCACAGGTGCTTGTGCAGAGCGTCTGAAGCATGGACTGAAGTGCAAAAAATCAGACAGGTGCTGGAGGACAAAAGGTGGGGGAGGCTGATGGAGAGACTTGCATTGACCTCTTCTAAAAGACACAGTCTCAGCTTTAGTTTTCAGCCTCTCTGTGAGCCAAGGTGAGTCTGCTCTCCACCTCATCTTCTGAATGCCATTTCAAGTTGTTTACCATCTTTCCATTTCAGTTGTCCAGTCATACACTTAGTTATCGTTGCTTAAGTTTCAAGGATGTTGACTTCTTTTAAATGCTTTATAATGTAAGTATAAGGGAAAGCGCCATTACATGACACTCATTTGATAAATTCTTGTCCAAATCCATTTAAAAAGCAAGACACTGACCAATGAAAGGTTAACAATTTCAGTTAAATAACTCAAAGCATCTTTAGTGGAAAAGTACATAGAACTTCATTCTACCTGCGATGTCGCTCCAGGATGAGGGGGGGCTCATGAATGCACGTGGATGCTTCACTAAACATTTCTAATATTGTGCACATTATAAAGCAGAACACCAATTTCTTTGTTTCCGTGCCTCCAGTTTGTCCCAAAGAAGATTCAGACTGAACAGGACGGTTCTCAGCAGTAAACCCTTCGTTTTGCTGGGGAACAGACGGGCTGTGTGTGTCGACTACATGCCGGTCCTCCGCTCCATCTGCCGCTTACATAAAGCACAGCAACAGAAACAAGAGCCACTGAGGTGAGTCAGACACAAGGTTTAAGAGTCCGAAAGTAGGGGACAATCATAAATGACAGGAAATGGAGATGGATTTTATGTTACTAGTGAGGTTGTAATATCACAATAAGTTCATGTGAGAGAGAATGGCAGATAACCTCCCTGAACACCTCAGTGTAGATCAGTGAAGATGTGGTTTGACAACATTTAGAACAGTTTCTTAGTTTGTCCAGGAGTATATCTGCAGAGACCACCCTCACTAACTTCTGATGCACACCCAGTCATTTAGTTTTATAAGCAGAAACCACTCGTTTCAGAAAACCGCTTAAAGATTTACTCATAGTAGGCTTTCAAGGGGACAAGAGTTAAATAACACCGCTTCTTCACACTAGGGCTAACACACAGAGACAGACAACCTTTCATTCTCACTTTCACATGGCCAATTTAGTATCTCCAGTTAACCTAACTAGCCCGTGTCTGGACCATGGGAGGAAGCAGAGGTACCTGTAGAGAAACCGCACAGGAAGTCATTTTGTAAAACAACTTGTTCCCTTGCTGCTATGATTCTGTCATGAATCATAAGCCTGACATAATAAGAAATATAGATTGATAAATAACACTACACCCCAGAAGGGAGTGGAGGAATGTACATTTAGTTTAAGAGTGAATAATCCCTTTAAAATATATCTAACATTTTGTGCATTTATCTAATACTTTACATACTAATTTCTCCCACAATAGGTGTATGAACTACCTCAACAACATTCACCTGGGCCTCTCAAAGTCAACTATGCAGCTCCTGGCAGAAGGTTTCACGTGACTCCTAAAAGACTATTGAACCGTACATCATCTCTACCTCAGTTTACTCCTGTCAGTATTTATTTTAGTCAGATACTGTGAAATGAAATTAACATGGTTTATTTGAGGAATCATGTTTTTTATTTATATGCAAGTGCAACCATTAAGTAAATAAAAAGTTTGCCTTTTTTTTGTAAATTATACTGAGCATTTTAAGTACTCAGGTACTCACATGGGTTTTTGACACAAACTTTTATGCTTTTCATCCTTTGTGTTTTATCCACAAACAGGTTTTTCACAAAATGCTAGGACGACAGCTGTCACTGCCCCTGTCAGGGTTAGTAGCAGAAATAAACACAGGAGCAGCCCTTATACTCAAACAGTACCCAGAAAACAGCATTTGAGGGTTTTAAGTCACAATAAAAATATTTAATTCTTGAAAGTTATCATTAATCTCCAAAAAGTTCAAAGGAAAAAAAAGTTCAAAAGAACTCAGAATGCCATTTCTGAGGTTTGTTGGTTGTGTGGTGACGAGACGAGTCCAGCTAGTGGCTCTCAGGAGCAGTCGCTGAGCAGCTCATAAAAGGCTATAGCCTGAAGGAGAGCGTCACAGAGTTCCTCCCCTCCTCTTCTGCTGCCCATCTGGAAGGAATTCCTGTACTTCACCAGCAGATCCTGGGGAAAGTTTATTCTGGGAAACTTCTGCGTCACCGACTCTGTCATGAGCTGTCGAACTGCCTGCGCCCCGCTTGTTCGAGACTCACCCACCATCAGTCCAAAGTGGCGCCCTACAGCAGTCCTCATCATGTTGAGAACCCTGTAAAGGAAAGGAGAGAATTTCTGGGTCAAGTTTCTGCATGCACGCTCGCTTGTGCAGGATTACAGATGTGACCAGCACAAGTTCAAACCAAATACTTTTGATATCTTTTTTTAACTTCACCTGGGAGGAATGTTGGATTCTGGCAGGGAATTTTTGGGCTCCAGCAGAGCAAAAAGCATGGCCTCCACAGCCCTCATGTGTGCCATGATGGGGAACAGAGCTGTGTTTTGGACTGAAATGGAAGATTTCTCTATTATGTAGAAATCTGCTGATGGCAGGAGGGCCACAACTGAAGACACCTGTTGGCATCACAGAATTAATGAATTATGTTACAGAAACAAAGTTCCAAAACACAGTGACTGTTAGTCTACATTAACGTTCTCATTTAGCTAGACTTTACTAGAAATAATATGCTCTACAAAAGTACTTACATCATGCAAATAAGCAGAAGCCATGTAAGTTCCCCTCAGGAAATTCGGACAGTCCACCTGTTGCCAGTCCAGTACACTCATTCCACGGTCCACGTGTGCCCAGGCAATTTTATTAGTCCCACATATGAGTGACACTATGGAACTGGCATCCTGCATCGGCAAATACAGAATCATGATTAGAGAGCATTATCCTGCTCTTTCTTTTCATAGTTAATATTTTCTTTTAACAGCTCAAGGTTATGAAGTAGACAGTAAACCCTATCACAGCAAAGTCCATCACCAGCTATCCAACATCCTGTGATATTTGATTTGATTACAATATCATGTATGCTTTTCCAAGCATAAAAGTTGGCCCCAAAGATTTAAACTTCTGCCAAAGGAAAATCAATGGGGCTGCGATTACATTTGTTTACGTGGGGTTTAATTTACTGAAGCATGAAAACATTTATCAACACTTATTACAAAAAAAAAACCAAAAAAAAACCAGGGAGAAAGACTTCTAAGCAGGGTGGCAGATTGTTAGTCTTGAACAGTACACGTGTACCAACCTATGTGCATATCATGTGCAAAAAGCCTACTTTGAGTCAGGAAGAACCCACTTATGTGGTTCATAATTCTCATAGATCATGTAATTACATAACAGAACATCTGTGTCATCCAAAATATGGGCACTGTTGACAAGAGGATGGCTTATCAACAAATAAAACGAGATTAAGTGCAAACAATTAAGAAAAAAAATCCTAGAATTGCCCGTGATCATACAGACCAATGTAGATATTTCAAACACGGATGTGTCAAATGTTGATCGTCTATCAAGAAGTGATTTCTGTTATTTGTCAAATAATGATTGAATTGAATTCAATTTTACTTATATACCACCAAATCACAATCATATGACCCCCCCCCACAAAAAAAAAAACAACAACAAAAAAACAAACAAACCACACACCGGAAATCACCTGTTAACACGAAAAGCTCACCTCTAACCAAGACTTGTCGACCTCTGGCCTGATGAACTTGGCCAGCTGTATCCTCACTTTCCTCTCCTTCTTAACCGTCGGGTTGAGAATGGAGTTGAAGACAATGACAGCACTTTTGTGCTTTAGCAGTGGAACATTCACCACACTTTCCAGAGTTTTAAAGGGTCCGTTTTTAGTCCTGTACTCCACAATGTTGAGGGACTTGCGACCTCGCAGCAGCTTTATCCCGGCCAGCTCTCCTGGCGTGGCGGTGTTGAGGAGCTGGAGGATAGCGTCTCGCTGCTCTGGGGTGTAGCAGGTGTCCAGCGTTCTGCTCGCGTCATCCTTGCAGGATTCATTACTGGAGGACAGATTAGCGTTAAGGGTCTCAAAGCTCGCCACGGGAACCCGGCTTCTCCAGCAGCATGTGCATTGAAGGTACCGCAGCTCAGGGAAGGAGCCGTACTGAGGGCGGCAAAACAAACCGGACTGTCCCGCATACTGACCTGGAAACACAACGGGGCAACATGTGTTGTCTAACGTTTAAGGTGTTAACTTTTACAATATGAGTGTGGAGCTCAGCCAAAGTTACTTAAGGTATACCTGTTCATGAACATTTAAGACCATAAAAGAAGATGCAACTTCTAAAGGCTTGCAATGAAACGACATTTTACAACTGGCGATACTAGCTAACGACATATGTGCATTAAAAATTCTTACTTCTTTTGACCAGCGACGACAAAACTCGCCTGGCGACCCACATTATCGTTACTTGAAGTTAAAATGAATATTTGACGGTTTTGCTCGCCGGCATAATGCAGGTGGAACAACTTCGCCCTCTGATTGTTTGGTGTCCAACGGTTTTAACTGGTCGGTGTGGCACAACAACAACACTTTAAATGGTTCCGGAATGCTGCTCAATCCCTCCCAGGCCTCGATGTATCGGACGTCGTAGAGATAAAGGCAAAAATAAAGAATTAGACAATTAAACAAAATAAGTAAATAATAATACCATAAATAATAATATTAACTGATAAATAACAGAATGCTTATTCGTCCACTCCCGAGCTGGGTTTATTTTTTATTTTTAATGTTTAATACATAATGATAAACTATCTTTTTTCGACTGCTGCATTTAGGGGTGAAGGTCTCCAAACCACACATTATAGCAGGTCTTGCTACTATCTTGTAAACCTCCCCTTTCATTCTTGCTGGTATCCTTCTGTTGCAAATCGCCACTGACACACATCTCCACCCACTTCACCCTGCCTCCACTCTTTTCTTTACTCCTCTTGTGCATTGTCCAGTGCTTTAGATGGTTTACCTCAGTTACTTAAACTAATTTTCCGTCAATACCTTTACTATTTGCAGCTTCATTGTTACACTTCTGTCCGTGTCATTCACAAGTATCCAACAACTCATGTTTTGAATATGTCATTCGAACATTCCATTGTTCCAACAGATTAGAAAATTGCTGCAGTTACACCACTTTTCAAAGCAGGTGTGAAGACTGACATGGCTAATTATTGCCCCATAAGCATACTCCCGGTCGTATCTAAAATAGCTGAGAAGTGGGTGGTTAAACTCCTCACTGCTCATCTAGAAAACACCCAACCCTCATTACATCCATTGCAGTTTGGCTTTCGGGCACATCACTCCACAGATACTGCCCTGTGTATGTTAGTGGAGAACTTGAAGAGCTTGCTGGACAAGAGTCCCTGTGTTGGAGCTGTATTTTTAGATCTGAGGAAGGCTTTCGACTCTGTAAACCATCAGATATTGTTATCCAGATTGACTCGGTTTAATATCTCCAGTCAGGCTCTTCAGTGGTTTGCTTCATATCTCTCACACAGGAAACAGTGTGTGGTGTTGGATGGGGTTAAATCTCCATATTTAGACTGTGATACAGGGGTTCCTCAAGGATCTGTTCTTGGGCCCTTATTGTTCTCTCTTTTTATCAATAACTTACCTGAAGTCTGTCCAAATATATTTACTCAAATGTATGCAGATGATGCAGTTATATATACGCAAGCAAATAGTGTCCAGCAGGTGGCAAAAGATCTTACAGCTGCTTTAGCATTAATGCATAGCTGGCTGGAGGACTCATGCCTAATGTTGAACACCTCAAAAACTGTCGGTATGTATTTTTCAAAACGCCCCTTAAACTTGAAGCAGTCAAACATATTCCTGGATGGAGTAGAGCTTGAATTGGCTCCAGAATTTAAATATCTTGGGGTCATTCTAGACCCAACATTGTCCTTCAAGAGTCACATAAATAAAGTGTCCCAGGTACTTACATTTAATAATCGAAATTTTAATCATATACGTAATAATTTAAATATGAATGTTGCAAAAACTTATTTTTACTCAATGATCATCTCTCATATGGACTATTGTTTGACGTCCTGGTCACTTGCTTGTCCAACAACACTTAAAATTATTGAAAACATTTATAAAAGAAGTTTAAAACTACTTGACAAAAAACCGACTTCCCACCACCACTGTCATGTGTTAAAAAAACATAAATTACTGAATATCAATAACTTAGTGAAACTTAAAAGAGTGAGTTTAATATATAAAGTCTTACACTCCCTTGCTCCACCACCACTAAAGCAGTTCATTAGGCATAAAGAAAGCTCAGACAGGACCACTCAAGCTACAATCTGAGGAGACTTGTTTATACCCCACAGACGGACAGCATTTGGGCAGAACGTCCTTTCTGTCCAGGGTGGCCATCTGTGGAACAGTCTTCCTCAACCCATTAGAGAATGCTCGACATTCAATTTGTATGGGGGCAAAGGTTAAAAACTGGTTATGGACAATTCAA